GTGCTAAGAAGCCCCAAAGGTACAATTTGATGTCAAATGTAAAATTCCTGACATGTTTCAAGATGCTTCCTTAGGGGAATTTTTTTTTTTTAACTTCCCCTTCTGGGAAATTGGAGGAGTGGCACTGGCAACTTCCGTTTTACCAGAAGGAAAAGTTACACGTCTGTTTTAAAAAATTCCCCTGAGGAAACATTTTGAAACGTGTCAGGAATTTTACAGTAGACTTTTAATTGCACCTGTGGGCTTTCTGTTTGGCTTCTTTTGGGGTGTTCCGTGGCTCTGTCTGAGCCAGAAACTCTTCATAGATCCTGAAGGCTTTCTAGGGCCAATTAACTATCAGCAGACGTCTTTGTGTTATGTTTCCCTGAAACCTGTCCTCCTTTCATATTTTATTGGTCCTTCAGTACAAAGCAGTCCTGATCCCCCTTCTTCACAGCTTCCTCCTCCTCCCACCACTGCGGATACACCTCCTTATGCCTTAAAGGTGCCAGCAGAACTGAAAGGACCATAGAGCTGGGCTGCATGCTTCTAGAGCTATTGTTCTCTCAAGGAAACGGGAAACTGCGCTAGGGAGCCCCCTCCCAAAGACGTCAAAAGAGTCTCCAGTGATCTCCCCGTTCCTGATGAAAACTGCAGTGTGCAAAATTATCTTGTGCTTTATTTCTTCCACTTCAGACAGTTAGAAAATTGGTCTGCCAATGGTAGACTCTCCACTAGACTATGGGCTTTGATAGCCATCAAACTCTAATGGCTCCTGGTGGTGCCACTACCGTCTTTGAACTCATGGTCATCTCTGCTGGTAGACAAGTTGAGGCTCCTGGATGCCATTTGCCCAAGTAACTGCAGAGTGGCTACGTGGCTTGTTAGCCCAGGCAATTCATCAATTAGACCTTAAACCTGGCATGCCAAGGCCTACCAGCATCCTATACAAAACTAAAGGCCATATTTACAGGAATACCTACACATCTTTTCAAACAGTACTTTGCAAGCATGGACAGACTGAATGTCAAAGCTTACCAGCAAAAGGCAGACAACATTCTATCCTGCAATATCAGAAAATGGGTTATTCTAGGGGGGGAAATTACCCTGAAGAGAGGTCGGTATATTTTGCTAAAATATAAACCAGTTCCATTCCACATTTTTGGGAAGCCAGAAATCATTCCAGAAACAGATAGGAAACTATGTTCATTTTCCACCAAGGGGCTGAGGGTAGTACACAATGCTCCTCTGACTTATTCTCCCAACAACTTGAAGGTAGGGCTGGCTAAGCAAGCAGTGAGCTTACCCAAAGTAAGCTCCATGGCCGAACAGGATATAACCAGGGCTATTTTGGGGCAGGAACGCACAGGAACGGAGTTCCAGCTGGCTCCCAAGTTGGCCACGCCCAGCAGGAACTCATTAGTATTACAGGCCACACCCAACAGCAGAAACGCATTAGAATTGCCTACATTAGGGATGTGTGGCCTAACATGCAAAGGAGTTCCTGCTACAAAAAAAGCCCTGGGTTTTGACCACAAACAAGGTCAACAGAATAAGAAGCAAAAGGTGGTCGTGGCTGGATGACCACACTTCTGGTAACATGGGTGTGTGGCCTAATATGCTAATGAGCTGTGCTGTCAGGGCTGTGGCCTAATAGGCTAATGAGTTTCTGCTGTTGGGTGTGGCCTATTATGCTAATGAGTTCCTGCTGGGCTTTTTCTACAAAAAAAGCCCTGGATATAACCCACTTTATCTGCTAAGGCCCACTGCCTCTGGCATTGAGAATATATATATACATTCCCAAACATTTTGTTTGTTCAGGAATAGTTTCCAAGTGCTGATGCTAGGACAATCTGAAATCCCATTTGTGGGAATTAAGCTTAATCCCTGACTGGATGACAGCAGCAAGCAGCTAGATGCTGAGAGATGAGATGTGGTTTGGTTGGCTGTGTTAGAGAGGCTGCATATTCCAGACCATGCCTGCAAGAGGACTCCCGCGCATAGCCTTCCACATATGAAGTGACCTTATACCATCTTGCAGCTGACTTGTCTCTTCTGACAGGCTGTGGCTCTGCAGACTCTCAGGCAGAGGAAGGGGTTTCTCAGCATCACTTTTAAAGGGAAGAGACCAGGATCAAACTCAAGACCTCATGTTGTTGTATGCTAACTGGCCCCCCCATCTGAATACATATCTCTACATCAGCTGCTACCAGGCCATCCTGCAGCAAAACAAAACTGTAGCCAAAAGTCTTCAGCAGAGTGAAGAATCAGTTCTGCTAACAAGTTGTGACATACTCAAACCAGGTAGACCCACAGACTTGGAACTCCTGATTTCCCACAGGCTAGAAGACAATCAACTCCCTTGGAGAACAGCAAATCTGTATTAAAGACATTTTTAAAAAATGCTGTTTAGTCAGCTCAGGTTTCCTGCCCCTCCCCTCAGAAAAGCAATTGTGGCCCCGGTCACACGGCAGAGTTGCTGCGGGAGAGGCACAGGAGTCCCACGGATTTTCCGGGCGCGATCACACCCCAACATCTGGGAAGCGCAGTGCTCCTGTGACGACCCCGTGGCTCCCCACTGAAGGTGCGGATTAAAAAACTAGTATTTACGAGGTACTAGTTTCCGGAAACCGCGGGCCAAGGGTGGGCATCTGATCGCGTTTCCGGTGGACTTGCGTGGCATCCGGCGCCCTTCTCCGCAGGTTGCACAACACCACCCAACAGCGCATGTGCACAAAGAGCGATTGCTAGTGCGATCATGCAGCGCGGCTTCAGTGCCCGTCTGGTCGGCATCTCCCCCCTAACCACGGGACCTCGACTGGGACGTGTGCTCGGGCGGCTGCGCATTAGTTTCCTCCGGGGCAATTAGCCACGCCTCCCCCCGTGATATCTGGCCCTTGTGACCAGGGCCTGTGTTGCCAGCCCACTAAGGCTGAGAGTTTCCCCCCTTCACCCCCCTTGGTTCTAGCAGCAATGAGATCAGTTATATTTAGAAGCATTGGTTGACCATCACTTGTAGCATTTTGGTCCATGAATTTTAGTTTAGTCAAAAATAAAAAAGACAGACCACCTTCTGAGAAAATAGATTTTTATTGGATATGAAACAAAGAAGGCTTAAACATCAAGAGCTGTTTTCGGATCACAACCAGTGCTTTCCACTAGCATCCTTTTGTTTTAGCTTGATCTGCTCCAACAATGGAAAAGAGCCAGCTATGTCAGGTGATTGTTTTGCTGTGGTCAGATTCAAAAAGACAGCTGGCCAGGCTGTAATGGAGCAGGGTGAGAGAGACCAAGTCAGAGGAATGGCAGAGTGCTAAAACTTTAGCAGGACAGTAACTAAGGCACCGTAATGGAAAGGGGTAGATCCTTACACTGGGATTTTCACTCCTGCTTGGTTTCTTAGCAACATTGGTTGGCCCTCCTTACACACAGTACTGTTTGCCAGCCCCTGTGCCCCACCCCCCCACCCGTTTCTCCCCTGTGTTTCCAGGCCGCAGCAAAAGTAGTCTGGGAAAAAAAGGGGGAAACTCAAAAGAAAAATACACTGTGTGTAAGGAAGGGGGGAGAAACTGATGCAGTGAAGAAGCAAAACTGGAGCAAAATCCTGGTGCTGATAAGGCCATGCAGAGATAACCATCAGTGGCATCAGTACAAGTGTATTTATCAGCAGCAATCAAGGATTAAGACAGGGCCATATTAGAGGCTGAGAGGCAGCCCCTCCAAGTACTCCTCCACCCACAATTCATAGCCTGTTAAACTAGCATCACTACTTATACATGCTAGTTATCCCAAGCACTGCTTATAAATTACTTATGCAAGGAGGCTGAGGTTACAGGCTATAGGTTATACCACGAGCTCCTTAGCCAGCAGTGGCCAGGATTGTTCCATAAATCCTCCGTCCACATCCAATTTTCTTCTTCTGACCTATGGAAGTTGACAGCTGAGGGGAGAAAACCAACACCAAAAAGGTTTGGAGGATGGAAGTCTGGGGTTGCGTACTGCTCTTGACGCTGAAGGCTGCGTGTTGTGCCTTAACTGCCTTTTTTTGGCCTTCAAATCACAGCTGACTTATGCCGACCCCAAAGGGTTTTCAAAGCAAGAGACTTAGAGGCAGTTTGCCACGGTCTGCCTCCCATGTCACAACCCTGGTATTCCTTGGCAGTTTGTTTGGGCTAGCCTGGGCGATCCAGGTCAGAGCCGAAGCCGAAGTAATCCCAAATAATTTCAGTAAAAACAGGGCAGTCACATCTTGTTACAGGGTAAGAAGTGCTCCCAATTTTTAGGTCAGGGAGTGAAGGGGCAGCAGGACTTTTTACTCACTAGAAGGGCATGCCTGTTCATCAGCACCAACATTCACTTCCCCTAAGAGGGGCCATACAGTGCCCCCAGCATGAAGGAAGGTTGACCCTGTGCTGCAATCTGCCTCTGTGCTGATACCACCTGATGTTACATAAGGCATCTACAGCCTGGATTCTCTTTGCAAAACTGCCCTCAACTCTCGATACATTCCAGGAAGTGCACAGCACTGTGGGAAGAATGGCCCTCAGCACCAGACAAGCTCACAGCCCTTTTTGCCTCAATTAATTTTTTCACAACCAAACCAGGAGGATGCAGAAAGGGTGGAAACAGGGCCCAGAAGCCATGGCCTTGATCCCCCCCCCCCTTCGGTGATCAAAGCAAGAAGAATAACCCAACAGATTTTCAATACATTGTATTTATTTATGGTGACAGATTCTAAAGAATCTAGCAAGTCTTGTCAGGCCTACCGCATGACAGGTCTGGTTGCTTCAGAACACAGTCAAACACAAGTCCAGAAGTGCCCAGCTCTTCAAACCTTTAAGATACCTCTCACACATACAAAGGAAGAGCACAATCACAGCAAAAAAAAGTCCAATGCGGCTTCCATTTACAGGAATTTCACTACACGCATACACACACCCCACAAAAAAAGTGCAACTTTTTTATTCATCCAGCAAGCCCTTGGTTAGAGGGGAAAGATATTTTTAAACTACAGTATTTACTTTTTTTTTTTGAAGAGGTTCTCTCGTTTAAGCATCCCCCTCAAGAATTCAGCCAGAAGAGTTAAGTGCTGCTAGACATCTGTGCTACTTTGATTAGTGCAAACCCACTTCCCCCCCTAAAATGTGAATTACTGAAAAGCTGCCAAAGATACAGTATGGAAGAGCAGCTTTTTCAAGTGGAAAAGGAAAAACCCACACACAATTAAGCCCCTGATATCAGGCACTGCAGCCACATTTCTCTGTGTGTACAGAAGAATTCACTGGTATGCAGAGGAACACCCCCTTCCCAGCTCAAGAGCTATTTATATTGCAGAAGAACTCTCTTATTGGACCTCTTAGAACTCAATGGCATCTCCTCATCCAGGAAGAATGGTGAGAGTGGCAACGCTGGAGCGGATCTTTTGTCAGTGTGGCCACAGGCTTGAGAATGGTTTGGTCTTTGCCAACCCAGCTCACACTTTTGCAGGAAAAGAGGCAGAGTTTTACCTAGACAACAATCCAAGTATGATATTTTATTTCATTTTTCCAGACTGCCCCAAACTTCGTACAGCTTTACTGCAAACAAACATTAGTAAATAAGTTGACCTTTAAGGATGTACCATGAAACGTTTTAATGTAGCCCTTCTATAGCAGGCACAGCCAAAATGCTAAAGCGTTCAACTACTTTAGCTTTCTAAAAAAAGCATGGGAGCATTAACCTGAACTAACACATTACACAGGAGCTGCTATGCACTCCCCCCACATCAGGACAGGACTACTGTGTGCTGTGTAGGTAGCCCACTTCAAACTTCTGGTATTTATACATGACACACTAAAATCCTCTTGGACGCAAGTCACTCTGATTGGCTTTAACTGAGATCTCCCTTCCAGTTGCCAGAGAAGGGAAACCGAGGATCTCTCTCCTCCCAAGTCCTTGCTAACAGAGGTCCATCGATAAGTTTCATCAAATGCCATTTTACTCAGGTATGGAGCCAAGCAGAATGACACAGGCATCTAGTTAAAGGAGGAGGAGCGCCATTCTCAGAGCAGGGGAAACAGGGTTAAAAAGAACTGGTTGCAGTTTTCAGTAAGAGCTCCAGAGCTCTTTGCCCAAACTTCAACCACAGGCAAAACCCCCACCAAGAACAGGTCAGTCTACCTAAGTCTGCTGGTGTTTCAGGTCAAACTCATTTAATCCCAACCACCTACCAATCAGTGGGTTTTTTTAATACCACGCAAATCCCAACATTTTCCCCTTCCCCTCCAGGACATTTACTTCCCGAAGTCACATTTTTGGCACCGCGCATTCAGTAGGGCAATACTTGGAGACAGGTTCCCAGTCTTCCTTTCAGCCTTCACGAGGATTTTTTGTACAACCTCAAAAACAGTGGTACTGATGCTTACTACCTCTGGCTCCCCACACTGATTGCCAATCAGTACTGCTGGCTCATCTCTAACAGCAAGCCCAGGAGGCAGCAGCAGCTCTTTCACGCCACTGCCTGCATCGGTTCCCTTGACAGAAATGATCAGGTGACCCTACCCCCCCCAAAAAAAAATCAGATATCCCTACTTGAACTACCAAGAGGGAGCTCTGCCCCTACCCAAAAAAAAAAAAAAATCAAGGTTACAGTACAATTCTTTTTTTTCTTTTTTTTTTGGTTGCAGGCACTTTTAATAGGATATCTTTGGTCCTTTACAAGGAATCAGCCACTCTGGCATCTCTTCAGAAACAGAGTCTGCACAGCCCCATCTCTTGTACTAAAAAAGGAAAAAAAAAATCTTTCAACTCAGGTAGTGCAGCTCTACCTTTTAACCTAATCCTACTCACCCCATACATAACTCAAGCATTTTCTTACTGTAAACATCTCTGATAACTACTCATAACACTGCACGGTTTTCCCCACAGTATACAGCAGACTGACTTCATTCCAATGTAGACGCAAGAATTCTGGTTTTGTTTTTTTCTTCTTCTCAAGGGTGAATGGCCTCTACTCCCACTGCCCTCCCCAGAGTATTAAGGAGAGCCATCGCAAAGCTCAGTTGCAGGGGAGCCAAGTTGGGTAGGAGTGACTGCAAGGCATGAGAGGTTGCACGTGGGTTACATAGTAATTGACATTTATTTCGCTGACATAGGGTGCCGGCTGATAATAGCAAGTCACGTTTGTGACTGTCGGGATTATGTTCTGCTCAGCCAAGACTCTCACAGCCAACATGGCAATGAGGTTCAACGTCTGCCGCCTTTCGTGTCCCATCAGGCACACTGTACTTTCATTCACCACTCTGTGCAGGGTCATCAGGCAATCGTACCGCTTACTCTCCATGCCAACAAAATGGCTCTGGAGGTAGGACTCTAACTTCCGCTGCTGCTCTCCAATGTCAGGAAAGTCTATAAAAAACCTGGAGCACATGTATCTCTGTAGTGCCTTCATGTCGACCTCCGATTTGGGCTTAAATCCCCTCACAAGGAGGTTGCAGTACTTTAGAAGCCCGCCGCCTCTGATCTCCTCTGGATTCCTAGTGGCGATGATTCTGTTCTTCAGATGGTCCATTGCCTCTTCAAAGTCCCCATACATGCTCTCCCCAGTGACTGTAGGGTGGAAGTTCTTAGACATTGGGTTCTCTGAACACTCCCCAAACAGCAACAGGGAGTCCAATATGATCTGGAAGGAATCAACACTGAACTCAAACTGCCGTCGGAGAGAGTCTACAAATTTGAGTTCTACGTTCTTCCCACTGTTGTTCGACAGCGAGATAAGGCTCCAGCGGTCCGTTTCATTGCACACTTTCACCAACTTCTGCACATAGGCCTCTTTCAGAGTCATGGGAGTGATCTTATCTTTGTTTACCCCTTCTGGGAGGAAGTCCAAGAGGCAGTCCATTACAACGTCTTTCACCAGCTGGAAGACATCCTCACTTTTCAGATCGACCCCAAAAATAAGATCCAGATCTTTGTATCCCAGACCACTGTCTTGATGCAGCACGTGGCTAGCTGCTGAGCCATTCAGCCTCACATTATGGACAGCGACCCCCTTCTTTTCTAGACGGCTGCGAACCACCTGAAAACACAAGGAGAGGAATGCTGCGGTAAGTTATTGAGCACTCTGGAGACAGGAGGCAACTCAGGCAGTGGGAAGCATTTGGCTGCCATGTTAAAGACGGCCATGTTTGCTTTCCCAACATCGTCACCGAGCCAACTTACAAGAGCAAGCTGCAATGCACACACCTGGAACTTTGTACTTCACCTTGTTCATGGGATCTGACGCCTACTTACACCCTATACGAACATTTAGTTATGAGCTGGAGGTCTATCTGCCATTCTCTACCCTAAGGCAGCAGCTGTCTGGGCAAGTCTAACGCAAGAACTGTCCCTCCTCCTGCAGCTTTTAGCCTTATTTGAGCAGAGTTCCAGGAAATTCCTGGCCTAAGTGCAGAATGGCAAGATTAAGAGGCAAGGGAGGAGGCTCCAGCATAGATGTCTTAGCTAGTGCCTAGGAAGGCTAAACACACTGGCCGCATTCGTTTTGTCTGTTCCTGCGGCTGCTCTTGCCAAGGCTCAAGGACAAACAAGATCACAGGGCAGCCAAAGACCTTGCGATTTGTATGGCAAAGCTCCATGCTACTAGGATGTGCAGCTTCAGGCATCTATCAGTCAGCCAAGCAAACTACAACCAGCCCTTGCAGTCTCCCTCTGATTTAAATGCTACTTGCAAAAACTAATCTGAACTAAAGCTATATAGGCCATACATCACAGGATCTAGATACGACTCCCCCTGACTCTTCCTGAACAGTTGTCTCTGCTTTACTAGTAGATCGTCATTGAGAAGCAGATGGCTTTTTCCACCATAATTTTATGGCAGACCATGTTTAGATGGCAAAGTAACACCTAAAAGCGCATGCTTTGCCATCTTCTGGACCAAGTCAGACTGAAGTGTCAAACAGACAGAGCCTCTTTTCAAGACACCCTCCCTCCACCAATACAATGAATAAAGCACTGGCTCAGGCAGTATAGAAGCAAAAACAGTTGTGCACGACACTGTAGAACTCAGCCCAAGATCGGGGGTGCGGAGGAGGGAGAGAGGAAAAACAGCAGAGCACACACCAGTTTGCCAAGAAGCTTTTAGGTACATTAGATAAAGGTGCTAAAATGCTTTAGAGTCCAGGTCTTGCTTTGTAGAGCCAACAACTGAACAGTTGCTCAAATTCCTGGATAAGAAGGTCCTTGAATGGTGCTCAGGACTTAGTTGTTGTGCTTATTCCCAAGGAAGAATAAGATTTTGACAGCTGTGTGAATGGCAGAAATTCAACAGATGCAGTTTCTACAATTTGGAAAGCTCTACCTGCTAGGTTTGCCTGCCAGTTTTACTACTAGAGGTGTGAAGGCTCAGAAAGTTTCCCCTTTTCATTTTCTCACATTCAAACCTTGCCTTAAGCATTTTGCTCATTTTTTCCATGTTTTCAAGTCTGAGGACTTTCAAACGAAAAAAATTGGGAAACCCTTGAGTTTTCCATTGTTATAAACTTTGACTTGATATCTCAACATGTTGGCAGTTCTACATATTGTGACTTAAGAGAATTTCTGTCCAAATAGTACACTTTCTTTTGTTTACTATAAACCTTTCTGCCTTTACCTTTTATTTCTTTCTCCTCTCTGAATTAAAGATACATGTGCTATGGTAAGCAGAAGTGTACAGCAGTTCACAATTCTTTCTCAGGTGTTAGATATACTTGCAATTTCTTATAAAAATGAAATTTATACTTTTAAATTCCATAGCTACGCCAAATACAATTTATATGCTAAGTTACAAATGATTTATTTTTATGAATTAAATCAAAGAAGCTTAGGTCTCATAGGAAAGTAAGTTTTCCAAAATGCTTTTCTCCCCCTAAAAAAGCTTTTTTCCTGGGTTTTCAAAATTTCTGGAAATTTGACATCTCTATTTACCACCGTGTTGTAGAGCACTGGTCCATATACAGCTATTCCAGCCCCAACCTACCTCAGCAGGTAATTTGATATAGAAGCCACACACTGAGCATTACAAAAGGTAACTCCCTTTTTAGGTTACTTGAGACAACCTTTGCATTTAGGGAAGATTTACATTCATCTGGCCAAAATAATTCCCTTTTGTTAACTGAGAACTACAAAATTCTATAGTACAATGATTTTTTTTTAATAGGAAAAGTGCAATCAGGTCAATGTTGGATAGGAAAGGTGCAATCAGGTCAATGTTGAACCTAACCTTCTTCTCAGATGGCCTAATGTACAGGTAGGACAGCCCCAAACGCCTCTGAAATCTCTACCCTGACACAGTTGAGCCCATTAAATTCTCATGACCAGAGTTCACAGACTCCTCTGGCTAGGTATGAACAGAAGCCCGAGCCTATCTGCACGCATATTTGTTATAAGACAATGTCTAAAGGGGCAAGGCTTAACACTCTATCACTTGCCACATGCATTACTTCGCAAGCAGCAAAACGCAACTAACTCCTTCACGCTAGTCACAGAATGCTGGGCAAGCCTACAGCAGTCCAGCACAGGTGGTGGTGTCCCCCTTTAGTGAGAGTATTTCCAAAGGCTATTTGATGGGCTTTAGTTACCCCCCCCCCAGGGAAAAACCACAGGAGTACTGAACAGAAATAAGTAAGGCTTTAAAGGTTTACCAAGAGCTTGCATAAAGATTTTAGTAGTTTTAAATCAAGGGGCTTGGTAAGGGCCTAGGCCTGAAATGTCTCCCTAGTCAACAGAAGATTTAAACTATAACATATTAGGTTAATCAGATGCCAGTGTGTTACCATCTATATATTCAGAACTTCCCTGCTGCAGCTGCACTGAGGGACTAAATTGCACCTCCTTTCCATTACCTGCAGTTTCAGGAAAGCAGCAGCATACCATGCTCTTATTGAGCTATATGAGCTGATTAGGTAAAGGCAAAGGTTTCCCTTGCTCGAAAGCCAGTTGAATCTGACTCTAGGGGGCGGTGCTCATCTCTGTTTCCAAGCCAAAGAGCCAGCGCTGTCCAAAGACTTCTCCATGGTCATGTGGCCAGCATGAGTCATGACTAAACACCAAAGTGCACGGAACGCTGTTACCTTCCCACTGAAGTGGTACCTATTTATCTACTTGCAATTTCTTGCTTTTGAACTGCTAGGTTGGCAGGAGCTGGGGCCAGAGATGGGAGCTCACTCCGTCATGCAGCGCTAGGGTCTGAAACTGCCGAACTACAGACCTTTCAGTCTGCAGCTCAGTGTCTTAACCTCTGAGCCGCCGCGGCTCTATATGAGCTGATTAAAAAGCATTAAATCCTTATTACTCATGGCCATGTGTCCAGGAACTCTGTCACATGGTTTATTCATCTGACCAGCATGAAAATGCATCAACACCCAACTTTCAGGTACGAAGATTCCTGAGCATCCTCTAGCCAGCACAAGTGGGGGATTTTCTCTCTATCCGACAATGCAGAAAGAAAGAGGCTCTCTGCACCTGGGCAGCAAAGTACACCAGCAAAACAGAAATGTTGCACCTCTGCAGCCCCAATCCCTGGGGTTTCAGGAAAAGGAGATTTGCTTTTCAGTATATGCTGCGTCTATGGTGAACTATGGTGCTGGAGAAGACTCTGGAGAGTCCCTTGGACTGCAAGAAGAACAAATCAGTCAATCCTAAAAGAAATCAACCCTGACTGTTCCCTGGAAGGCCAGATAATGAAACCGAAGCTCAAATACTTTGGCCACCAAATGAGAAGGGAGCACTCACTGGAGAAGACCCTGATGCTGGGAAAGACTGAAGGTCAAAGAAGACGGGGACGGGCAAAGGATGAGATGGTTAGACAGTGTCATAGATGCAACGAACATGAAGTTGAGCAAACTTCAGAGGACGGCGGAAGACCGGAGGGCCTGGCGGGAGCTGGTCCATGGGGTCGCAAAGAGTCGGACTCGACTGTGCGACTGAACAACATATGCTGCGTCCGCACATGGAACACTGTGTGGGGAAGGGAGGGATGCTAGGCATTCACGGTTCGGATGCCTCAACTATCCACACAAAATTCATGCTAGTGCTACGACTTCAGTTTAAATAAGGCAACTGAGACTGTCTCTGCACCACATTTGAGAAAACTCAATTACCTATTCAGCAGATGCCCAGGGGCTGAACTAATGATTATTCACCAATGAGGACTCTGGTAGAGCTCTTCTGGTTCTAACATACCATCCCTTTGCACCTTGCCTGGCAAAATCCCTTCATCAGCATTGTTCCTGCCTGCAACTGCCAAATGCTCACCTGCACCCTACTAAACCACATGCTACTGCTTGCCCTCCACAGCCATCTGACACAAAGAAATCTGCTTGCTTCCAGCTTACCCCAGTCCTGCCAGCCAAGTATACTCTACTAGCCATGGACCATCCCCCATCCTTCCTGCCTGCCAGAGCCAGTTTAGTAATTTGTGAAGCGTAGTAGAGTGACTGCCTCAAGCAAGCCTCTGGCAAGGTGGCATGCAGTTTTCCCAAATGAAGACTACAGCTCGCGTTGGAGACCTTGGAAAGATCCTTATGATTTTCTAGCCCTGCTCTCCCTGGTTATGAAAGTGCAGAGCTGGATGCTTGTACAACCAGTTTGTCCAACTCTGCCAAGCTCCATGCAGGACAAACTGCCCAGTGAAGTTCCTCAGTCCTAAGGCGACAGGCATCTGGTGCTTTTAACATATGTGACCAGCATGGCTTCAATATTCCAGGCCCTGCCGTAACTGAAGGCCTCTTCCTATACAATTCCTACCTTTCCACAGGATTTAAAGTTCCAGAATCTAATGCAACATAAAGTGTGCAGGATTAGCATCTACACTCTACTCTAGAGAAGACTTTCCTGCCCACAAACTAATAGTCTTCATAACCAAAGTACAGCATTTCACTTTAATCCAGGATTTGCAGAATTCAATAAACATAGCTCTACACTTATTTTGAACAAGAAATATTGTTTGCTTAGTGCAACTTGACCTAAATTCTGTGCCAAAGGTTGCACTTAGTGTAAAATTTGGAATTTACACACCACCCTTCTGTATGCAATTCATAT